AGAGAGAGAGAGAGAGAGAGAGAAACTTTTTAAAATTCTTGTTCCTGTCTGTGTAATTCTTACTTTTCTTAATTTCTCTATCCCCACCCCAAACCCACTCCCACCCTTCTACTCCCCCAATCCCCGCCCCTCCCCCCTTCAAACCTAACACAGTTTTGTCCCCGAGAGCCTCCGTTGGCTGGCGGTCCAGGGCCGGGTACAGGACGCCGTTGGTGTCGTCGGCAAGATGGCGGCTTTCAACGGCCGGGAACTTCCGGGAGACACAGTCACAGTGATAGAAGTAGGTGGCTTTATTAGACAACTAGTTAAAACATTTATAGTTTTAGAAATAGGTGACTTTATTTGACGATACTAGGCAATACAGTGACGTTGATAGAAGTTGGAGACTTTACTAAACATTACTACCGGGCTCTCGTGGCCTAGAGCTTAAGGTTTTCGCATCTCATTCAAAGGTACCGGGTTCGATTCCGGGAAACGACGGCACAAATTTAATCTCTAAAAATGTCTCCTTTCAACCCCTTTGCAGCTCTGTAGCAGAGTTCTGTCGTCTGCTTTCGTCTCCACCTTTTGCCTCCACCCCCTCACCTCCCTTGCCCCCTCCTCTGGGCTCCTGACTCTTTTTGCAGCCTTTCTACTGCTACAACTTGGCTCCTTCTTCTGCTGTCTTTCAGCCATACCCTTGATCTTATGGTACGTAAGATCCCTTGGTGATCCAAAATCGATAAGAGTGGGCTTCAGCCACCACCCGGGCAAAATTAAAAATTTCCTACCGACTGAAAATTATGTTTGGTGTATCCCACGCGCTCATATGACCTTATGCAGTTGCGAACGCCGTAAAGCACTTACCCCCCAAAAAATTAGAAAGTACTTGACAATACTGTCACGGTGGGTGACTATACGACATACCCTAAGGTATCGAATAAATGGTAGGGGGGTGGGGGTTAGGTAGGAATAAAATGGTAAAAAAGGGGGGGGGGGTGAAAAAGTGGTCTCAAATTAATAAACGTGGTAAGGGGGGGGGGGGGAAATTAAAAAAAAGGGGGGGGGTCAGCCTCATACCCCTGTACTAGTAGGAATACATCTTTTATTTCTCTTTCAGTAAATTAAAAAACAAGAGATCATTAAAATCTTAGTGATTTTAGTACGGTACTGGGACAACTTTTCCCTTTAAATTTGGAACAAATCAGTTTCATTGAAAAATATAAACCAATGTACAAAAGTTTTTTAAAAGCGCCAAAAATTGAGGTAGCCAATCCGGTAACGGTACTAATATTAAGGGTGATTTGCGATTTACCGAAAAAAATCGCTTATTTGATACCTTAGAGTAATGCAGCCACTGATGCTAGGCAACTCTCGACATCGCTAGACAATAATTATTATGAGACTAAACTGGAAAATACAGTCACATTGATAGAAGTAAGGTGCTTTACCCGACAATATTAGATAATTCTAGACAATAGTCGACACTACTAGACAATACGAGACAATGTACGACTAAACTAGACCTGTTATACTGAGGATAACAAAAACAAAAATCAGGGTACTTTTTCAATTTTCTTTGTTTGTTCGTTTTCTTTATTTTGGTTTGGGAGCGGGTGTTTCATAGTGTGTTGTTTGTTTTTGTTTTGTTTTGTTTTCTAGATAGGTAACTAGAAAACTGAGGAAAATAATAACTCAGGTAGTTGTATTATGATTGTAACGACAGTTGGTAACCAAACTAGATCTATATTGTGGATCAGACAGTGACTCATGATCATAGGACGAACACTCACAAATGTTCATAATTAAAGGAGTTAATAGACTTCATTGATATTGTTATTTCAAGCCATTTTTGTTTTATGTCCTTTTCTGCATAACATTGTAAGTATTTTAATGACCGGTTGGTCATTTCTGTCACGTGTATGAGTGTTGGTAGGAGAAATCTTTTTACGTTATTACTCTATTATAATTTTTTTATTACAAGCCGTTACTCGTTAGAACGGGTGCATATTGTTCAAATGGATTGGATCTGCTAGATCAGTTCGAATCTGATTGGGTTGGGTTATGGGATGGTCAGTGCCCCACTATATCAAATAGACCTCTGCTTTGCCTCATCACATTTGACCTTGCAGTGTGTGTGTATCTGTGTGTGTGTGTGTGTGTGTGTGTGTGTGTGTGTGTGTGTGTGTGTGTGTGTGTGTGTGTGTGTGTGTATATAAATAATAACAAGGTGGGGGGGAGACGAGTATATAAGAGTAGATGGAAAAAACCTTCTCCGATGATTTAAAACTTTACAACACAGCGTCGAGCCACGCGACGCGTGCTGCAGAAGAGCTAATACTCACTAACATGCAACCGGCCTCACACCCAGTGGATATTTTTTCAGGCCTGCTTCGGTCTTCGTCATCATTTTCCCCAGACATGGGCTCCAGACAGCCAATCGAGGGAGTTACTTGGCAGGGACAGAGCAACTTAACTTTGTCAGTGATCTAGATATCATGAAGGTGTGTAAGCGAGGGGCTACAATTTTCCATTTGGGGGCTAGGGAGAGTGAAATTGAG